GTGCCTTGTGAATGCTGAAATGGTGCGGCGGATGGAGCACCCATGGGAGTGTGGGGGAGTGCCCCCTGCATGCTTAGCGGCAGACCCAGAAATGGACCAGAAGCACTTCCGCTCCACTTCTGAGTCTGCCACAAAGTGTGCGGTGGACCCCCTGTGCCTCCTGCGTCTGGGGGAGGCACCCGGGGTCCTCCCATAGCCAATGGCCGAACTGGGGAGGTGCAGGGGGGATCCCCCATGTTCTCAGCTCTGGACCTGAAAGTGGCCTGGAAGTGCTTTTGGTCCATTCCCACTGGAGCCCCCACACCCCCGTGGGATGCTCCATCTGTCCTACCACCTCAGCTTTCACGAGCTGTGCCTGGTACCTTGAGGTATGTAGAAAAAAACAAAGCTGTGTCTATCGCTAAATCACTGATTCTCTGAATCAGAATTGAATCTTCAGATTTGGCTGAATTGAAATCAGGACAGTGATCCAAATCAGCATATTGAATCACTGTCCCCCAAACTGGGCTGAATCCAAATTGAATACTGCCTACTTCACTCACCCTTAATGGACAACTGTTTTTATACAAGGACAACACATTAATGTAGCACTGAAAGTATACAATCTACTTAAGAGAAACGTTTATACAAACTGTATTCTAAATTTAAGTTTTTATGGATATGTGACCACCACCCAAAATTCTTGTGCTTCACTAACATACAACTTCTCTTGTTACCAAAAGATGAATATATCCATTTAGATACTCCATCAATATGCTAAGTATCACTGGTTATAATTTTTACACTACTCAATGTGATACAACATTTATGCACACACTAAGTTTTTAAAATACCAAGGCTTGAAAAAATAAAAAATTTAGCAAGTTGGGGAGTAAAGCCTTTAAACAATGAAATCAGTATTGCTGCTAAAACTTAGATTTTAGCAAACAGTTTTTCTAAAGTCTAATCAGACATGTTTCCATAAAACATGGAGAGAGTGGAGACATTAACATCAGTCAAGTTCACAGCTTCAGGGAGAGTGCTGAGCAAACGGGGACACAAACATACAAGAAAGAACTAGATAGTGATATGCAACTTAGAAGGAATACTCCTTAGGCCACCACAAAGCATGGACACTTTTCTGCACAGAAAACTTTAGAAGCAAGGATGTTTGCACCTGCCTTTCTACAACTAGAATCTGCATTATGAAAAACTTAAAATGTTTAATTTTATCTTCATAAATGACAATGCATCCTCAACTACTTCTGTTATCAGGAATGTTAAGAACAAAAAAAGGTGATACAAACTTACCTCTTTCCAGGGGCTCTCAAACTGTGTACGTGCATATCGAGTTAACATGTGAATGATAACAATTTGCCCCCATTCCTCCACATCAACCAGCAAATTACAGAGTTTTCGATAGTTCTTGTGAATCAGATCAATTCTATCTGGGCACACTTCCTCAAAGGCCATCACAACGCTCCCGGCTACCAACTAGAAAACAAAATGATAAAAAACACTTAGTAATTCTCTTTACAGATGTTCTAAAGGGAATATTACGAACTAACACAGGCAATTGTAATACAGTACTTCAGAGTATGCCAATTTTGCAAAAATCTTCAGAAAAAAAAACTCTTAAAATTACACAAATGGTATCTTTGTTTAAAATGGATCTGGTTAAATGCATTATGTACTACATTTTCAAAAAAAAATCATTTTTGAACATTCTTCTAGGACACAGAAAATTGTAACTGTATCATTAAATCAATTATAGAATCATAGAATCAATGAGTCGGAAGGGACCTAGACAGATCATCGAGTCCGACCCCCTGCCATGGGCAGGAAGGAGCACTGGGGGTGGCAGGGGTCATAAGACCTCAGCCAGGTGCCTATCCAGTCTCGTTTTGAAGATTTCCAGGGAAGGTGAGAGCACCACCTCTCTGGGAAGCCTATTCCAGGCTCTGGCCACCCTTACAGGGAAGTAGTTCTTCCTAATATGTAACTTAAACTTATCCTCCCTCAGCTTGTGGCCATTCCCGGTGACTCCAAGGGGGGCTCTGGAGAATAGACTTTCCCCGAGTCCCTGCTGCTGGCCCCTGATAAGGTTGTAGGCAGCCACAAGATCCCTCCTCTGTCTCCTCTTGCGAAGACTGAAGAGATTCAGGTCCCTTAGCCTCTCCTTATGGTTGGGGGCCACAGAGGCCCCCAACCATACGAGTGGTCCTCCACCTTCACCTTCTTATCTCTGAAGGCATAAGAGCAAAAAGAATTATAACTTCAATGAACTTTTTTAAAAACCAGAAACTATACACTTTGTGATAATATGTACATCAATTTGCTAATAATACAAAACACCAAAAACAAAAAGGGATGTGCTTGAAATGACCTCATGGGAGCCACTTATTAATACTATATGACAAAATTTAAAGGGAAGATTGGGAATAACCCTAATAAAATCCACCTTTCCTCCAAATTGCTAAATTTAGCTGTGTCCAATGCAAATTACCTCTGGGATTCAAAA